ATCACGCTCGCTGTAGTGAAGTGTTCACAGCGTCTTCCCATGATCCTCCTGTTTCTGTAAAGGCCATGTCCGCTGCAAGTAATTTTCCCTGTTAGCAGACATTGACGCTGTGTAATTAAAACTTTAGATTGCCCAAGGTTATATAGTCTTCTAGCTTCCTACCTGTATTTAGCTTTTTACAGTTCATTGGCTCATATTGCTGTAATAAGCAGCTTTTTCCTGTGAAATTATCTTCATATCCAGCTTTATTTTGACAAGTATTCAGCATCTGAATACATAAAGCTACTGCTGCATCTTGTAAAATTCATTCCTTCATTTTCCTTAATAGTATCATCTAGAGTAGCAGTTTTCAAACAGTGGTACAAGTACCTTGGGGGGTACTTCTGACAGCTCGGGGTGTACGTCTGCTTGTCAAACCAAATTCATCGAAACAGTTTAGAGTTTTAACAAATAGGGATTCATATCTAAAACAAATTTGAGTATTTTATTTACTAAAATTGAACATGAGATATGCCAGTGAAGAGCAAAAAACGGGTTCCCTTAAGTGTCGGCCACCCCAGCTGCTTATACTTAACATCCCTTCACTTCCCTGCTGCTCTGTTTGTCTGTGAAGGTAAAGAGCAGAAGCCCTGTTTAAAGTGGAACTACGGGCAAAATATAAAAATACATACATGATACAATCTGTCAATAGCATAAACACAGCTGTTTTCCTGAGTCCCCCGTTTTATTATCTGGTGAACCGGCCAAGTCTGTTATATTTCCACTTCCTTTAACAGGTCAAGCTGTCCAGCAAAAGTGGTAGATAGAGGGTTTAGGCAAACCATTTCACACTGACAGGGGTGCTTACAATGCTCAGTTTTATTTATTTAGTAAAAAAACTTAATTCCAAACGGAACAAAAAAAAACTTCTGTAACTGCTAAAAACATGTTGGCTGGAGTTAGGCTTATGTTGTTAGTCACTTATATAAAGTCCATCTACATCTACTAAACCAGTGGTTCTCAACCTGTGTAACCTCAGGACCCACATTCGTCCTTGGTCATTAGGTCACGACCCAAGTCGCACTGCCATGGAAACAACGTGTTTTCCGGTGTGGGCTTCCATACCAGAATGCACAGAAGGTATGATTGTGTGGTGCAGTGCATTAATCATGTGATTAATGCACTGTACTAGCCCTCAAAAACACTGACAGACACACAACCACAGACACAATCTCACACACTCACAGACATTCTCACACACATACACACTCCAAAATGTTTTTATTTATTCTTTTTTTTTTTAAGATCCACCCAGTCCCTACGATAATTGGAGTGAATCCTCAGGCTGGGGTCCAGTGTGGGCTGCTGTGCTGTGATGGAGCTCTATCCACATGTGCATTGCTTGTACAGCTCCCTTGCACGTCCTGTAGAGGTATTGGGAACCAGAATGTGATGACACTCCAGTCCAGGCACCTCTACAGGACATGGGAGGGAGCTGTAAGCAATGCACATATGGATGGAGCTCCCTCGCAGCCATACACCCAGCCCACCCCCACTTCAAGTTGATATTTTGAATGCTGCTTGGTGCAAGAACTGACTGTGTTGTGCTAGGAAAAGGCTAAGGAGCCTCTCACCTAGAAAATTAGCAGGCACGTAGCGACCCACTGAAAATGGGGTAGCAACCCAGTTTTGGGTCACAACCCACCAGTTGAGAACCAAGGTACTAAACCATTTAACACTACCTTCTCCACAGGTTGACAATGCTGCTGTTCAAGGGTGGCTACGTTGCTCTTCCACAGATACAGTGGAGGAGTGAGTGTAGCCACCCTAAGACACAAAGTATGTTACCAGCAGAATCGGTAGGTGAAAAGAAAGTTAAAAAAAAAAGGCCTTAAAAACGAATGCAGCCACCTCATCTGAGCTTTGGTAGCTGATATATATTACGTTTTTGTTTTTGGGTTTAGATACACTTTAAGCTTCATGTTTCCAGTCAGTGCCTACACAGAGCCAAAGACTCTTTCCCTTTAACATATGAAAGTGACATTGGGCTTTTCTCTTAACTTCTGGTGGCCAAATGGAGCAGTGAGGGAATAAAGGGAATGCTTTATGATACATGATTTGATAATTGAAGCGAATCCTCCCTCAATTTATTCAGTGAAGATTTTCAACTCCTATAGGAAATCAGCCTCATAGTGTCTACTTCATGATTGGGTGTTTGAAGTAGAACCAGGATCTTGCTACACATTGGTGAATCAGGTGCAGCATGTTAAACCAGTTGACAGATTGTAGTGCACCTACATTATATGGCCAAAGCTTTCTGGACACCTGACCATCACATCTATATGAGCTTGTTGGACGTTCCATTTCAAAACCATGGGCATTAACATGACGTTAGTCCTCCGCTTTGTGGCTATAACAGCCCTCACTCTCCTGGGAAGACTTTCCACAAGCTTGTGTATATGGAAATGTGTGCACCGTCATCCAAAAGATCACGTGTGAGGTCAGGTACTGATGTTGGATTAAAAGACCTTGCTCACAGTAATGCTTCTATTTGATCCCAAGGATGTTCCTTAGTGTTGAGATCCCCTGTTCAGGCCACTTGACCTCCTCCACAAACTCATCAAACCATGTCTTTATGAACTTGGATTTGTGCACAGAGGATTGTTCATTCCAAAAGAGAAAAAAAGTCTTCCCCAAACAGTTTGCAAAAGGTTAAAAATGCACAGTTACCTACAATGTCTTTGTATGCTGTAGTGAACTGTATTAACAGAACCCTTCACTGAACTCAATAATTTGGAGGGGTATCCACATACTTTTGGCAATGTAATGTACTTTAATAAAAAAAAAAAAAATAAGGGGGGAGTTTCAGTTGGTTATTTAATCATTATAAGATCTCTGTACTCATTTGGAAAAGATATGCTGCCTTTATTTAGCCCAGACTTCCATGCTCATATGTGAGAATTCTTGGGCTTTGAGCAAATAAATCCGGCCTGATACCATCCGTGTAAATCACTAAACAAAGAGCCGGTGGAGTCAGTGAATCAATGTAATAGCTGAGAATTCCACTCCTCTTATCTGACAAATGTAGCATTTCTATAATGGGATGGGATTTTAATGTTATTGTTTCTTTTTGTCTGGGAACTTTATTATCTGCCATGGCTGCAGCCTAAAAAATGAGCCTGTTTTACTGTAAATCCGTGAAAGCCTTCGATCTGTTTATATTTTAGCGTTGCCATTTACAGTTTTAGTCAAACTAAAAAGTCATTTACGAGCTGCTCTCAAATTTGTTAGGACGAGTTGGTATAGCATGGCGTAAAATCCAGGGCTGTGTGGGGGCTTGTTATAACCGTCAGTTAAATATTGGCTGTGTTAGCGGAATGTTTCTTATCACTAATAAGCTGTATTACTCTTCCTAAGATACCTTCTCATTGACAATTGTATACAGCAGAACTTTTGTTAGGAATGTTTAATTCACGCAAACAAACACTTTGCTTCAATCAGTCTAAATGACAGACAAAATACTCTACGCCATCCTTGTGTACTCCTTCCATCAACTGCCAACGTGGGGCAATCGGAGGATCCATAGAATGGGGAAAATATGTTTGAATAACTATGTCTGTCATGCTTTTGTTATTCTATTTATATAGCACCAACATACTAACCTGCATGAACTCACATCCCCTACTATAAACTATTACTACATTTTTGTGTAAACACCACTTAACTAACTGGTATTATTTGGAGGGAAGCTCATGCAAACTGCACAAACTCCATGCAGAGAGTGTCCCAAGTGGCATTCAGTCCCGGATCCCAGTCACGCAAGAGTGCTAATCACGAAGCTTACCGATGAAAGAGCTGGAGCAGATGGGCGGACACACAGTACGGGACAGCATGTGGAAACACAGAACAAGGGGAAGCTAGGAACCACTGTATGGTTTAATACAAACGGGTAAATAGTGTCTGCCCTACTGTAGAAGATATTAATTTGCCACAAATCCTTTGCTTCATATATGCCTGTGGTCCCACCGCACCGGCTCCGAGAGATGGTGGACTTTGATCCCCGCACCTTGGGGGGGATTCGCACTGATCGCCAGACATCTCGATTCTTGCCACAGTCTAGAAAGAATGAAAACCAATTCTCACAAAGATGGAATACATCATATTTATATGAATTAAGTATTGTGGATGCTATAATCAATTTACACTTAATGCAATGTGGCAATAAGGCAGAATTGAGGGAATTATATTGTAATGTTTGATTTTAAATGGAATCTATGGATTTTTTTATTGAATATGTTAATACATTTTCTACCTTTTTGAAATGAGAGTCTGACGCCTCTTAAAACCCCAATGGTACTACAAAACCACTTTAAAGTGTCAATGAAACATTGTCCTCTTTATTTAGTGTAACGTCCTTTCTCTGAGTGTGACATTTTGCTCTGAGAGTCAGTGGTCACCCTTAATGTTTGAGAGTCACTGCCCCATACAGTTGATGATAGTAATCAGTACCATGGTGTGGATTCTCACTGCTTGAAAGTGATTGGTTCCCTTGTGTGTTTGATGACAGTTCTTCCCCGGCAATCTTACCGTCTGTAAACTTTGAACACAAAAAGAGATTGCTTTAAGTAAATTTGATAATATAGTCGGAAAATGCATATTTCCTGAAAAGTTCCAGTTATTTCTGTATTCTTCTGCTCCAGGTAGTTTCACTTTCCTCATATAGCCAATATTAGACTTTTATAAGCATGTCCAACGTGCCTTGTGCTGCATTTTGTGGTAGCAATCTAGCGTACACTGCAGTCCAGGGAGTGCTTAAAGCAAGAATATTCCTTTGCACAGTGTCTCCCAGGAATTCAAGCAATTAGATTTTGAATACATTTCTATATTCCTGTGCTGCTAAGACTACAGATCCTCACATCTATTTGTATTAAATCAGTTTTGTCTCACTTGTAGCTTTGACATCTTGTAATAATTTTTTTGGCAATTTATTTCCTGACTACCGTTTTTTCTGCCTCTTTCAGCCTGTCAATCAGGGATCTCACTATCAAGCAGAGATGAATCCTTTAGCTCAATCCAACCCTCGGTAAGGAAAGCTTGAATTTCTTTAAAAACAGACCTTATAAAGACTTTTAACTTTGGAATAGGCATAATGCCGGGAAGCATAACGGGCAAAGAGCTTGGGTTTGTTTTTTTTTACTTATGAAAAATGTTTTTATGTGTATGGGTCTTTCAGGGGTTGGTCATTTGAGATGACCTCCACTTTGCGGCCATTATGTCAGCTGACACTGTAGCACCAGGGTAACAGGTATCCTCAACCTTTTACTAACTGGGAGTTACACCTGCTTTTCTTTTTTTTTTTATTCAAGTTATATACCAAACCTAAACAGAATAAAGGTAACTTAGGACATTAGTTATGTTAAACATTAGAGAGGATTAGAGAGAAAGTAGCCAGTAACGAGACGCAAAGAAAAGGAGAATAAAAAGAGAGAAGAGGCCAGGGGAGAGGGGGAGACATCAAAGGGTTGCTCAAGGGGAGAGCCGCCTACCATTACAGCTGCTTTTCTGATGGTAAAACTTTGTAGCAGGACTCTTCAGACCCACGTGGCTTCAATATCCTGTAGGCCTGAGCTCAGACATTTGTTCCTCACCACAGGCACATGGTCTATTCACAGAAAACTGAGTCTCTCCCTGAGCCTATGAAATCTTTTAAAACTGTGCTTCCCTGTTTTGTAAAGCATGACCAAACGCAATAATAACAGGCTAACACAGGTAGGCCAGCTGTCAAGGCGGACAGAACTCTCTGCACCCTCCCCTGTCACAGAACTCTAAAACCCTTTCAGTTGAGCCTGGTAGGTGATGCAAAACAGATTGTCCCTGGGCACACTGTTCTGCAAAAGGCCTTGCAAAAATAGTAAAATAATTTAACACAGAAGGGCCATTAGAGAACACATTCCTACATGCTGCACGTATACATTTAATTAAGAGCTTGAGTTATACATTTGGGTGCCTTTAGCTCTGCTCTTGTGTGACCACACCCTAAAGAAAATTGTATTATAAACACACATTGAAACAATACAAGTAAGTGAACTTTACTAACTAGGTACAAAAAATTAGTACATAAAAATGGTAAAGCAACTCGAGTTGCTAAAATATAAATGCCAAAAGGGGTCTCCTGGATGAAGGTAGTAAAAACTCACCCTGCCTGCTACCCATGCTGCTGAGTGCTTCTATAATAAAGAAAAAACATGCCCGAAGACACTTTAGACTCTGACACTTTCAAGCATGTTGGATTCCTGATCCCATGCTGTGCTAGTGGTTTGATCTGCCAGCCCCTACTTCACAACTGTATCCTGAAGTTATGTAGGGATCAGTGCAAAAAACCTCAAGTAAACTTCAAGCTAGTAGATATAAGGTCAAAGTTGGGTCATCCCACGTATCCCAGTATCCCCAATGGTGACAATGGGGGCCTGCTGTTCTTTACAGAGCAGCCCTGAGCTGTATCTGTCCAGCATCACATATGGCTTTAGTTTGCTTTACAGCTCTGAGAAATACTATTAAACAAATATGTAAATTTGAAGTCACAAAATACCAGAGCATTTCTATTTTTTGTGTCCTTTTAGCTTGTGTCCTTCCATCAAGAAATAAAACTGTTTTGGCTTTAAACTTTCTAAAGAAACTCACCATATTTGACAGGACCTTCTTCTGTATTATAATTGGGCTTTACAGGAAAGATGACCAAATTATAACTTAAAATCCCTGCACGATGACCCACTGCCTTATAGTAGCTCATAAATTATTACCTTGCTCCCCGTTCTGCAGAATGCCTGGCTCCGGCTGTGACCCTGATTTATAATAGATTAAAGGAAATCAATTTATTTTTGTGTTGAATATTTAGTTTACCTACAATGGTAAATGTCATATTTTGTTCAAAGGATGCTTCAAAAACACCTGCTTGATCATTAGGTATGCTGCCAAGGGGAGGGTGGTTGAATTTGAAATATATTTAATGAAAAGCTATTGCTGTCAGCAACAGATACAAACTAATTGTTCATAAACGATGGTAGTTATGGGTGGTGTATTTCTGGCAGTGGCGTAACCAGAGTTATGGGCGCCCGGGGCAGACATTTTTTTTCGCCCCCCCCCATTATATAAAC